CTGCTCCCTGGTCTGGGACTGTCTCTCTGACCACCCCACTCTGGTCTGATGACGCTGGTCTTGTGCTGTTTGGGTATGCTCTGTGTGCCCCGTCTCTTGTGCTTGCTGGCTGGGGCTCTCCTGTCTCTGGGACTCAACCTGCTTGTCATGGAGGCTGACCTGAGCGGAGCTGCCGTCATGCTTCAGGGACGCCTGCTTGCTCTGTCCTTGGCTGCTCCCCTCACGGAGCTGACCTCTCCCAGCCCATCCCACTTCGGTGTGACTTCTCTGTCCCTCCCTCAGCTCTTGCGAGGCCCCAGGGTGGTGGCTTCTGGACTCTTGAGATCCACAAGCTCCCTCAGGGCTCTCACTTAGGGTCTTGAAGCAGGCCTGGGCGACCTTAAACACGAGCACCAGGAATTCCTTGAACTCCACGGTCCCTGTGTTATCTTCATCCAACAGGCGTAGGACTTCGTCCACAGTGGCTGGGTCATGGGGTTTCTGTGGAGAAGATGAGGCTGAGTCGGCACCCCTTCCCTGGGGGAAGGCCAGCTCCACTCAGCTCCAAGCCTTCCAGCCCCCGGAGAGAGGGAGCCGGGCCCCCTCCAGCCCCACCACATTCTGCACGTAGAATGCTGTAACAGTGCTAACAATTGTGGTTTGTTTTTTTAGGCCTGTCTCTCTCCCTCAAGGGTCATTGTGGTTCTCAGCAAGTCGATTCCCACTTACGTCGACCCCACGTGTGCAGAGGAGAACTGCTCCACAAGGTTTTCAAGGCTGTGACCTTTTGGAAGCAGATTGCCAGGCCTGTCTTCCTAGGGCCTCTCTATGGGTTTGAACCTCTAACCTTTTAGATAAGAATTCAAGGCAGGGAGAGGCAGGGAAATGCATCAAGGGCCTTGATGCGAATGTGCCAGGGAGCGACCTGTTCTCCAGAAATTAATTTGTGATCAGTCAGCTAATATTTTCAAGTAACTTCTACGGGCAAGGCACAGAGCTATGCTTCTAGCGAATGCCTGTTAAAGGATAATCACATTTCAGATAGACTTGGGAAATGTTTCCTGTATTGGATTTAAAAAGCGGCAGAAAACAGCAACTATCTTCATTTCCAGAATATGCGAAGGCTCTGTTCCTCCCTGAGTTGTCCCCTGAGAGCCCTTTAACCTATCTTGAAATCAGAATTAATTAAAGTAAGGGTGTTTTCTGTAAGGGCCAAGCCCTACCAACCCCTATGACCACCTCTGGCACCTTGGCCTGTGTTCCTCGGCTTGCCGGGAGGCCTGGGTTTAACTGCTGCCTCCTCAGCTTCCCGAGGCAAACACTTTCTCTGCTATTATGCCCGCAGCCCACCCAGCTCAGCACCACCTACCACAATGACGTCAGCAAACTCATGCTCCAGGAGCCTTTTCAGCTCCCCTCGGGTCAGCACCGTGCAGTTACCCTCCGTCTTGGCGTAGCGACCAAAGGCCTCAATGATCCCATGAATGTTTCGTAGTAACTGAGGCATCTTTGAAGTCAAGCTGGAAAAAGATGAAAAGCCCCCCTGGGGGGCTCCACATGAGCCTCCGCTGTTTGCTGGGGCGCGTTTCTGCTTCACAGTCCTTTCTTTGCATAGTCAGCTCAGATTTTGGTCCGGGTCTCCTCTGTCCTTTCCTACATAATGCATTTTATGAACGGGAAGGAGGAACACACAGTGACTAGAGGCAGACTCCCAAGTCAGGATTTAAATGCTGGCCCCACCACCCCCCTGTCCTGTGAGCTGGGGCCCGTTGCTTCGCTTGTCCATGCCTCCCTTTACTCACTGTGGAACGAAGGTAATACTTCACACCAGTTGTCATGGAGTGGATTGTGACTCATGGTGACCCCGTGTGTTTCAAAGTAAAAACACACTGTATATGGTTTTCAATGACTGTGACCTTTCAGAAGCAGATAGCCAGGCCTTTCTTCCCAGGCACTATGGGTGGGTTAGAACTGCCAACGTTTTGGTTAACCGCGGAGTGCATAACCATTTGTACCACCTAGGGATTCTGAAGGTAATACTAGTACCCACTCTATAGGGTTATTGTAAGAACTAAAAGAGATAATCCACATCAAGCACTTGGCAGAGTACCTGGCACATGCTAAGTGCTAGCTGTTAGGTATCATTATTATGTTATTATGCACATATACACAGGTATAAGTTTTGTGCCTCTGTATACACTTTACTGCTTACAAGGCACTTGCCTGCGCATCATGGCTTGTAATCATTATCATCTCTGCTTTTTTATACGTGAGGAAACAGTTTCAGAGAAGTTAGGTAATTTGCCCAAGGCCACACAGGTTATAAAGGACAAAGAAATCCTAGAACCCATATCTCTTGAACTCTAATGCATGAGCTTCCTTTGCCTATAGCACAAGGCTGTCAGAGTCCCTGCTGGCTCTACCAGTGGGCAGTAAGTACGTATGTGAGTTAACCCTTACCTTAGGTGGGAGCCGAGCGGGAACTCCAGAGGCCCTGCTCTGCCCTTGCTTGCTTCCTTTTGGCCAGGTGCTCAGGAAGAGGCTGAGCTAACGTGTTGGGAATGCTGAAGAGGGGTGCCTCCCCTGGGTGGGAGGCTTTCTAATTCTGAGAGTCTAGGTTTCTCTGAATGTGACCTCCATCCTCAGCTCTGGGTCCTGTCGGGGAGGTCAGCCTGCCCAACCGACGTGTGGGTCCATCAAGTCCAGGGTCCTGGTGACCTATGGGGAATGACTCCCAATTGAAGGGAGAGATTGTCTTTCTATTAGCCAGGAATATGGAGGCAAGTTGAGGTGAGGCCTGTGTGTGGCTGATGGGCAAGAGGCAAAGAGGTCTGGAGATGTGTTGGGCAGAAGCCTTGGAGAGACCAGAAGGAGAAATTGGCATCAAAGATGAAAAGGTTCAGATGCCGGGGTAGACGGAAGCCTGTGGCAGCTGGAAAACCAGGAGAGGGACCTGGAGATTTAAAGGAGAATATCACGGAATGAGGAAGACATGATTAGAGAAGCCAGAGAACAAAGAAAATAAGGAGATTTGGGAGCTAGAGAAAGGAGGGCAGTTGGCCAGAAGGATTCAGAAGTTCACAGACCCAAGGTGGGCTGCCCAAGGGTCTCTTTTCTACCTAGTAGTCAAAAATTTCAGGCAGACTTTGACCTCTTGCGTACATCAAGGTACCCAAAAAACCAAACCAAATCCCCTGCTGTCGAGTCAATTCTGACTCATAAGGACCTTATAGGACAGGGTGGAACTGCCCCATAGGGTTTCCAAGGCTGTAATCTTTACAGAAGCATACTGCCACATCTTTCTCCTGCGGAGCAACTGTTAGGTTCGAACTGCCGACCTTTTGGTTAGCAGCCGAGTGCTTTAAGTACTGCACCACCAGGGCTCCCTCGTGAAGGTACAAAACTCATAATACTGCACCTCAGTAGACACAATGTGGCAGAATGTAACCACCGGTCTATAAATCAGTTGCCATGGAGTCAATTCCTACTCATGGCGACCCCATGTGTGTCAGAGTAGATCTGTGCTCCACAGGGTTTGGTTTTCCAGCGGCTGATCTTTTGGAAGCAGATCGCCAAATCCTTCTTCCAAGGCACCTCGGGGTGGGCTGGAACCTCCCACTTTTCGGTTAGCAGCCAAATGCCTTAACCGTTTGCAGCACCCCGGAAATCCCACTGATCTATAAACAGCAGAAATAAGAAGATGATCTTCAAGCTACATTTCAAATCTCTTAGAATGAATCCACAAACTCATCTTGCTTAAATATGGCCCTGGAGGGGAGGAGAGGAGTCACGTAAGCCCCTTCCTTCACAAGGTGGTTTGACCTCATGGTCTAGGTTGGCAGAAGTAACCTGGTTCTGATCCCACAGACTCTGAGCACCGCAAAAGCGCTTCTATGCCCTTAAGAACAAGAGGCCTTCACTGATCCAGGAGAGCAATGGACAGTTCTGTCCTTGTGCCCACACAGTCTCCCAGTGAGAAGAGCTGCTGCCAGGCCTCCAGGGGAGGAGGAGAGAGCCCAATGGCTTCAGGAGGCTCCATTTCCCAGCACGTCCCTGCTCCTGGCTTGCCTGAGGCCCCGTCAGAAGACACTGTGCCCACAGCCAGCACTGACTGACCTACAGACCCAAATCTGACAACCCTGGTTTTATGAACTCAGGTCCCCAAGACACTGAGCAAGCGGAAGCGGGGGTTCCTTCAGACGGGACTTACCTAATGCTCAGGCAGGATGAGGCAAGCGGTGTTAAGTGGTGTGTGGAGTACCTGGTCAGCGGGGTGAGAATCTTTTATAGGGTTTTCATCACGGCTAGAGTTTAGACAGGGTGTTCACGCCCCATGGGGAGGCTTGATTCATCAGTGGCTCAGCCCAGCCCAGCTCCACTTCCTTTCTCTGTTTCACCTACTGACCTGTGGCTGCATTAGGCTAATTAGCAGGCCCTGCCTGCCACACTTGGTGCCCTCTCTGTCACACTTGGTGCCCTCTCTGTCACACTTGGTGCCCTCTCTCCACTGACAAGGGAGACTCCCTCCCAACATAATGGGCTCAACGCTGGGTGCACAAGCCTGGCTTCCTGGTAAACCCTCCTCTTCTTGGTGTGATGGCAAAGTCATGGGATCCTTTTCCCTTTTCTAGACAAACACTTGAGAACGTATGGTCTGTTGAGGGCTGTCCTTTTCCAAGTGGCCACGTTGGGAGGCTACACACGGTTTTCTGGTGATGCTGCCATTCCTTAGAACATTTTTGGAAGTCTGGTTTTGGAATTGCCTTTTATACCCAGTTCAGGAGACACAAGCAAAAGTTGATTTCAGTTCTTCATAGCTGGGTCTCTCTCTCTCTCTCTCTCTTTTTTTTCCTTCCAATTTTCCAATACACTTTGTATTTTAGAGCAGTTTTAGGCTTACAGAAAAACTGTACAGAAAGTAGAGTTTCCGTATGCCCCCCTGCCCCACATACACAGTTTCTTGTATTACTAGCATCTTGTATTCCTTTGGTCCATTTGCTACAACTGATGAACCCATATTGTACATTATTATTAACTACAGTCCATAGTTCACATTCAGGTTCACCATCTGTGTTGTGTAAATGGGTTTTGACAAATGTGTGATGTTGTGTGTCCATAATTACAGTCTTATGCCGCATAGTCTCACTGCTCTAAAAATACCCTTCCCAGGGGTCCCTGGCATCTCTGGATCCTGTCACTGTCTCTGTGGTTTTGTCTTTTCCAGAATATCCTATAGTTGGATTCACATGGTATAACTGTCTCAGACTAGCTTCTTTCGCTCCACAAAACACATTGACGTTTCCTGCGTGTCTTTTCATAGCTTGAGAGCTGATTTCTTTTTATTGCTGAATAATACTCCACTGTATGGATGTACTACTGTTTGTTTATCCAGTCACCTATTGGAGGACACAGTGGTTGCTTCCAGGTTTTGGCAATTATGAATAAAGCTTCTGTAACTAACTGAGTGCAGGTGTTTACGTGGACATACATTTTCAACTGATTTGGGTAAATACCTAGGAGTGCAATTGCTGGATTGTACAGTAAGCCTGTATTTAGCTTTGTAGGAAACTGCAAGACGTTCTCCCAAAGTGGGTGTACCATTCTGCCTTCCCACCAGCAATGAATGACAGTTCCTATAGTTCCCTTGCCAGCAGTTGATGATGTTAGTGTATCTCGTTTTAATTTGTAATTCCCTAATGACATATGATGTTGAACATCTTTTGAAATGCTTGTTTGTTGTCTCTATATCTTCTCTGGTGAGTTGTCTGTTCAGATCTTTTGCCCATTTTGTAACTGGATTGTTTGTTTTCTTGTTGAGTTTTAAGAGTGATTTGTATATTTTGGACACAAGTCCTTTATCACATATGTATGTGGTTCACAAATATTTTCTCTATTAACTGTCTTTTGCAGAGCAGAAGTTTTTAATTTTAGGGAAGTCCAACTTAGAAATTTTATCTTTTATGGATTGTGCTTTTGGTGTTGTATCCAAAACGTTATTGCCAAACCCAGGGTCACGTAGATTTTATCCTGTGTTATCTTCTAAAAGCTGTATAGTTTGCAGCTTACGTTTAGGTGTATGATCTATTTTGAATTAACTTTTTGTGGAAGATGTGGGCTCTGTCTAGATTCTTTTTTCTTTTTTGGCACATAGATGTTCAGTTATACCAGCACCATTTGTTGAAAACACTATCCTTTTTCCATGTGACTCATTTTTTATTAAAACAGAAGTTAATACCCACTGCCTTACCTACATCCTATGGGTAGGTAGCGTTTCATAGCTTGTGGGGGGAAGAGGCTTGAGATAAACGTGTGTAACCCTCTAAACTGGTCAACTGTCAACAAATCTTCATGGAGAGCCTATTTCGTTTTAGAGATAGGACTAAGGCCTTAGGGATACAGTGTAGAAGAACACAGCCAGTAGGTCAAGGTCTCACACAGTTTACTGTCTGGGATTCTCGGGGAACGTTAACTTCTGGGAGAGTTTAATGATCATGGTAATTACCTAGA